CAAAAGGTGTTCCGAGATGCTTGTTTAGTCCATGAATTCCAGACTAGGCAAGGGTAAAACTTTTAACAGTGCAGAAATCGCCATCATTTCATTGCCTTGATTCTAACTGTTTGTGTCCGAAGATGCAAAAGAAGTCAGTGGCTTTTAACTGTTTACAAATAGAATGTGATTGTAAAATGTACAGTTTGGTTGTGTTTGAATTATGAAGTTTCTCCAGATATTAATAAATCATGATGTTTTTGGCTGCTCAGCATATAACTGTCTATTTTTTGTGACTTTATTTGTAGGCTGTTTTCTATACAATGACGATAGGGAACGATCTGACCATAGCTCTGTATTCCCATAGCTTCAGTTCTTCTTTCTTTTAGCAACCTGATTATTTTTAAGAAGAGATCTGCATTTTATCCTAGCAAAAGCCTTCCCTCAACGTGCCCGCTATGGGATGAGGATGTCAGTGTAGAAACCCGCAGCTTGCTTTTCCTTTTCTATTCGAGCACCTTTGGGATCCTGTTGCCCTCATCCTCTGCGTACTCCAACCGGCCCCACCATTTGTGCCCAGCTATAGATGCTCAAGAGGACACTTGCAAATAAAGGAGAGCATTTTGGAAAATAAACTTTAATGCTTAAAACATCCTGGTGTTTATACCTCATTTACATGAATCATGACGAACAATGCAGCAGCGCTTAATTTGTCTCTCACTCTTCACAGTGGCTTAGCTTGTTCTGGAGCGGCTGTAGGGCAGACCCTGTATGTACATAGTGATGTGACTTCAGAATCTGTTAGACTTTCCTTTCCACTTGCCGGATGTAAGTCATTAACTCTGTTGGATGCCAGCATTGTGTGGTACCAGACACTTCTCTGTAACTACTTACACTGCAATGCGCTGTCCCAAGCCAAAGCTGGCTGCTGGAGTCTGGTCCAAAACGTTGGCAGAGCAGCTCGGGGGCCTCTGCCTCGGGTGGAACTGACATCGCCCCGCGTCGATTGTATTGTCAAAGTGTTTGAAATCCCTTCACTGAGCTCGTTACGTGGAAATAAAATGTGGTTGGTTCCAAAAGCTGAACCTTGTGGCCTCTCTGTTGGGCTGTGGGTGTCAGGCCGTCCAGCTCCGCTCCAGGTTGACCAGCTCCATCCCCTCGCAGTACGAACGGGGCCGTCGGGCTTTGTGCTGCGGAGAGAGCCGGTATTCCCCATGGAGCAGCTGTTGGCTTCCAGCAGTTCCCTGGAGCATCCCTCTAAGGCAGCCCCAGGGCGCTGCACCCCTGCGCAGGGATGGAGCGGGCACAGCCCTGCAACGCTCCCCCATGGACCAGCCACCGCCACGGCCCCTGCGCTCACCGGCCGCTGCCTGGAAAGCTGATGGAGGAGGGGAAAGGGTGTCCACTGGATGGGCTCCATGGGCCAGCTCGACACGGAGATGTCGCTGGCTTTGCCCGAGTCCACCATGGGCTCGTTCATGCTGCCGGAGCTCGTGTCCCACTCGTAATGGAAACTGGGAAGAAAACCCAAAGTAGTGAATAGAAGGGGGGGGGGGGGGTAAACCCCAAGCTTGTGCTGAGGGGGCAGAACCCTGATCATGGCTACAGTGCGGTGTGAGTCCCGCACCGGCTGCCTCTGCCTGCACCCACAGCCCCAGCAGCGCCCTCGGGCCGTGGGGCTGCGCGGTGCCCCTGGGCCGGCCCAGCCCGGAGCCGCCGGGAGCTTGCAGGGCCCTTTTCCCCCGCCGAGCTCCCACCCGCGCCGAGCCGCCCCGCTTCCCGCAGACCTCAGCCCTCCTCCTGCTGCTCGCCGGCCCCACCGCGCCGGGCTCCCTGCGGGAGCGGGGAGGAACCCGCTCCTTTCTCCTCCACCCCGAGGACGCTGCGGTGCTGAAGCTGCGGGGGGGGGGCCGGGGCAGGGCAGGCGGCTCTGCCCCAGGATCCCATCTCCGCTCCGCCCTCCCTCCCCTTACCTGGCCCGGCCCGGCGCTGGGCGCTGCTTGGCGGCGATGCCCGGGTCCTCCCGGCAGCCGCAGCAGCCGTGGTCCAGGGCCTGGAGGTGGAGCAGCTCCTCCGAGGGGCTGAAGGCGGGGTTGTCGAGGGAGCTGGCCGAGGGCAGCCGGGACCGCGACCAGTACTGGGCAGAGACGTCGTCCAGGCGGCAGAACCGGCGGTAGCTGCGGGCACAGGGACGTGCGCGCGTGTACGCACACGGGTACACACATGCACGGGTGCACACGTGCATGCACACACGCAAACATGCGTGCACGCACGTACATACACACACACACACACACACATACACACACGCACATACACACACGCACACATACACACACACATACACACACACGCACATACACACACGCACATACATGCACATACACACACACACATACACACACACATACACACACACATACACACACGCACATACACACACGCACATACACACACACACACACGCACATACACACACGCACATACACACACACACACGCACACACACACACATACACACACACATACACACATACACACACACACACGCACGCACATACACACACGCACATACACACACGCACATACATGCACATACACACACACACATACACACACACATACACACACACATACACACACGCACATACACACACGCACATACACACACGCACATACACACACACACACACGCACATACACACACGCACATACACACACGCACATACACACACGCACATACACACACGCACATACACACACGCACATACACACACACACGCACATACACACACGCACATACACACACACACGCACACACACACACATACACACACACATACACACATACACACACACACACGCACGCACATACACACACGCACATACACACACGCACATACACACACACACACATACACACACACATACACACACGCACATACACACACACACACATACACACACACACACACATACACACATACACACACATACACACACGCACATACACACACGCACATACACACACGCACATACACACACGCACATACACACACACACACACACATACACACACACACACACACACACAGATGTGCACGCACACATACACACAGACATAGAATAGCTCGGGTTGGAAAGGACCTTAAGCTCATCCAGTTCCAACCCCCCTGCCATGGGCAGGGACACCTCACACTAAACCATGGCACCCAAGGTTCTGTCCAACCCGGCCTTGAACACTGCCAGGGATGGAGCATTCACAACCTCCCTGGGCAACCCATTCCAGTGCCTCACCACCCTTACAATAAAGAATTTCCTCCTTACATCCAATCTAAACTTCCCCTGTTTAAGTTTTAACCCATTACCCCTTGTCCTGTCACTACAGTCCCTAATGAAGAGTCCCTCCCCAGCATCCCTATAGGCCCCCTTCAGATACTGGAAGCTGCTATGAGGTCTCCACGCAGCTTCTCTTCCCCAGGCTGAACAGCCCCAACTTTCTCAGCCTGTCTCCATACGGGAGGTGCTCCAGCCCCTGCTCATCCTCGTGGCCTCCTCTGGACTTGTTCCAACAGTTCCATGTCCTTTTTATGCTGAGGACACCAGAACTGCACACAATGCTCCAGGTGAGGTCTCACAAGAGCAGAGTAGAGGGGCAGGATCACCTCCATGACCTGCTGGTCACGTTCCTTTTGATGCAGCTCAGGGTACGGCTGGTTTCTGGGCTGCAAGCCCACACTGAAGCCGGCTCATGTTCATTTTCTCATCAACCAACACCCCCAAGTCCTTCTCCTCAGGGCTGCTCTGAATCTCTTCTCTGCCCAACCTGTAGCTGCGCCTGGGATTGCTCCCACCCAGGTGTAGGACCTTGCACTTGGCATGGTTAAACCTCATGAGGTTGGCATCAGCCCAGCTCACAAGTGTGTCGAGGTCCCTCTGGATGGCATTCCTTCCCTCCAGGGTATCAACCGAACCACACAGCTCGGTGTCATCGGCAAACTCACTGAGGGCGCGCTCAATCCCACTGTCCATGGCAGGGATGAAGATGTGGAACAAGACCGGTCCCAACCCCGGTCCCTGAGGGACACCACTCGTTGCTGGTCTCCAACTGGACACTGAGCCATTGACATCTTTGCATGCAGCCATCCATAGACATGCACACATACATGCACACATACACGCATTCACACATATGTACAGGCACACATGTACGCACACATGCGCATATACATGTGCATACACACACATGCATGCACACATACACACACGCATGCACACATGCACACATATACACACATGCACACACGTGTGCGCGCACACACACGTGCCCATGGGCACACAGGACCCCAGTGACCGCACTGGGAGCTCAGAGCACAAGTTTCCACCCAGATGTGGCAGCCCAGGGCAGGACCCGGCCCCGTGCCCAGGGTGGGGATGGGGCCCATGACAGTGCTCAACATCTGGCCACAGCCCCACAGCTGTCGGGTGGTTCCTCAGAGCAATCCCTGCGGTGCATTACGAACCGGGGAGGGCAGCGGGGCCAGGACAGGGGCAGAGCCCTGCTCCCCCCATGGCTGGTGAGGGATGGGGGCCCTGGGACCCTGTGCCTGGGGCTCAGCAGCACCGCTTGTGCATCTCCATCACGGGGTATGTGCAGGGCACAGCCTGCAGCACTGCAGCCACCACCCACCCAGCCCTGCGGCCCTGGCTCCCCATTCCTGCCTCCGCGCTTCATGGGGCTGTGGGGAGCATCCTTGGCACCCGCACCGCTGGCACAGCCACACACAGACACCCACACCCAGCGCGGGGCTCCACAGGGCACAGGGACCAGCCGCTGCTGACCCTGCACCTCCCACCCACTGCTATCAGCCACAGGGGAGTTTGTCTGGGCAGAGCTCAGCCAGAGCCCACCCTGCATCCCTGCGTCCCGCTCAGCTGTGGCTCTCCCTGACCCCGCATGAGGCTGGAGCTGCTGCCCATTGCCCCCAGCACCCCAGGGAGGGATTGGAGCAGCAGCTCCACAGCAGCAGCTCCCTCCAGGGCCACCCCAGACCCCATCCCTCTCATCCCACCTGCTGCGGGTCTGGTCAGCCCTGGCCTCCATCAGCAGCACTTTGAACCTGCGCACGGCGACGGCGGCGATGACGGCGCCCAGGAGGAGGATGCTGAGCAGGACGCCCGCGGCCATGCCCAGCAGGCTCTGCTGCGTCACCCGGTGATCACAGCGCAGCCCCATGAACCAGAAGTCACTGCCCACGGGGCACCTGCACCAAGAGGGGATCAGGGCTGGGGGGGCAGCACCAGCACCCCCAGCATGGTCTCGGGGGGCACTCACTGGCAGAGGGGGCCACGGTCCCGCGGGTGAGCGCAGATGCCATGGTTCTTGCAGTAGTCGCGGTGGCAGAGGGACGTGCACGTGGCGTTCCCATCCGCACCGGGCACGCAGGCAAAGCCAGGCTGGCACATGAACAGTGCAGCGCAGGGATCCAGCTCTGCAGGAGCAGGGTTTGACCGTGCCAGGGTCCGACCATGGCAACACAGAGCCAGGCCAGGCCCGAGCCCACCCCGCAGCCCCTGCACTCACCCAGAGCCGTGTGGCGCAGGATGGATGCGGTGCCCATCGCCAGCCCCGGCCGAGCGCTGCCGGAGCCCAGCGTGGTGCTGAGCATCGTGCCCAGCCCCGGCACCCGCACGTGCTCCGCCGTGAACAGTGCCTCGTACTCCAGCACCACGGTGCCCTCCCTGCGGGGAGCCCAGCGCGACACACGGGGTCATCACCAGCGCATCCCACCAGTGCCACGGCACCGTGTGCCATGTGCCCCCATGGCAGGGGCGGCACCAGCACGCACCTGACCCGCGTCACCTCCAGCCGCAGGAAGCCGGGCAGGGGCGCGAAGAGTGGCGTGACCTGTGCGGGAGCATTGAGCGTGGGGCAGGAGCATTGAGCGCCGTGTGGGGCGGCCCCGGCACAGCCCCACGGCCCCGTTCTGCTCTCACCGTCCGGTTGAAGCTGTGCAGCAGCGCCTGGTGCTCACGGGACGCGGGGTCCTGCAGCGTGGGGCTGAACCCCATATCCAGCACCAGCTCACAGGGGACGCGCAGGACGGAGGCTGCGGGGGAGAGATGGGGACAGGTTGACACAGACCCACTCCTCTTCCTGTGCCCCTGTGGGGGGTCCAGCCCCACACCCACCTCTCAGCAGCGGCCGTTGATCCTCCACAATGAACACCTGGGGGGCTCTGCCCGTCACAGCCGGCGGCGCTCGGGGGGTGTCAGCATCCGGATGTCCTCTGGGGTCACTCGATGGCTGGACCAGGTCTGGGTCCCCTGCAGCCGTGGGGGACCCGGGGCCCCCACTGTGGCCCAGGGTTCCCGGGGAGTCGCTGGGCTGCTGCAGGGGCCCTGGCGTCACGGTGGGCAGATGAGTCACCCCCACCGCATCCCTCTGCAGCACAGCAGCACTGGGCTCTGGCGCGATGGTCCCCACATCCCTGAGCAGTGCTGGGCTGGCAGTGGTGGTGGTTGTGATGGTGACGGTGACAGTGGTGGCGGTGATGCTGATAGCAGTGGTTGATCCCAGGGAAGTCTCAGGCTGGGATGGAGCCAGCGTCTGCGTGGTCCCAGAGGCTGAGGGGGGGTCCAGGCTGCCCGGCTCCCAGCTCAGTGGGGCAGTCACTGCCCAGGGCCCGGCATCACTCCCCTCCACCGGGTCCGCCCCCAGGACCTGAGGCGTCTCTGTAGCATCCCCACCAAAGCTGGCGTGGGGCAGCCAGAGCCCTGGGGCTGGGGGGGTGCCCGCTGTGGGGCTGAGCCCCAAGACACCCCAGCGGGTCCCTGGGGAGGGCAGCGGGGTTGTGGGCACAGCGGCGCTGCCGGCTGGGGCAGCCGACGGGGCTGGAGGTGCTCGGGGGTGACCCGGGCTGGGGAACAGCCCCCGGCTCTGCACCGCTCTGCCCGGGGCCATGGGAGTGAGGGGCAGCCCCGGGGGCCGGGTCTGGTGCAGGGGGACGCGGCCGTGCCCAGCGGGACCCTCCGTGTCGGGTGCCCCTGAGAGCGCTGCAGTCGGGTCCAGGGGTGCCCCCGGGCCGGGCGATGTCACCCCTGGGCTGGCGGGGCCGGGCAGACCCGGTCCGGTGCCTGCAGCGGGCAGCGAGGCCGGGCCCGTCCCCGCGGCTGCCCTGGACACGGGGTCATCAGCGCCCAGCGGCGGCAGAGAGGGGCGCGGGGCAGCGCCGGGCCCCTGCCATGAGACATCCATCACTGGCGGCGGGTGGGAGGCAGAGCCCCGGCCCCCGGCCAGCCCCGGTGCCCCTCCCGGTGTCCCGGTGGGGGTCAGCAGCCTCTGCGTCCCCCCCGCGAAGGGCGATGTCCCGCCTGTCCCCGGCTCTGGGCTGTCGGTGGCCACCGCGATGCTCGGCCGGGGCCCTGGCCCGGGGTCACCCAGCGGGACGGTGGCACCCGCGTCCTCCCCCATCGCCAGCTCAGGGGGTGAGGGCCTGTGTGAGCCCCCCTGGCTCTGCACGAGAGCTGTGCCCGTGGGGCTCCATCCCGGCAGGGCGCCGGGGGACCCCCCCTGCCCCTCGGCAGAGCTGGGCACCGTTGTAGGGGATGGTGAACGCGAGCGTGCCCCCGGTGCGGCCGTGGCACCTTCAGACACGGCGTTTCCTACAGGGTGAGTCCCGGGGGGGTGCCCGGTGGCAGGAGCCGAGTTGGGTTCCTCAGCTCCCGGGGCCCCTGCGCTGCTCCCCCCTGGGCTCTCGCTGCCCGCGGGGAGCCGGGGGGCGGCTGCTCCGTCCCTGCCTGCCCAGGGGCCTGCGGGGCTCCGCCGGGGGCCGGGGGTCTCGGCGGCCCCGGTGGGGGTCCCAGAGAACGGCAGCAGCTCAGCCCCTGTCCGCAGCCGCCCCACGGCCTCCGGTGTCGGTGCCTGCCCCACCTCAGCTCCTCGCTCCGGATCTATGGGCAGAGGCGAAAGTGGGGGGACACTGAGCAGGGCTGAGCCATGGGCAGCGCCCCACAGCCGCCAGCTCGGCATCAACACACATGGGCAGCTCATGGCGCTACAGACCAAGGGTTCACGGTACCTGTGGGGCAGCCCGCCCCCGTCGCGGTGCCCGGGTGGGAGCAGGAGACGGCAGTGACGGGTGTGGGGCCCATCTCGGTGGTCAGACAGGGGCAGAGCCGTGCACAGCATCCCACGATCACTGAGGACAGAGGGGAAGGAGTGGTGAGCAGCGGTGCCGGGCATCGGGCATCAGCACCGGGAGCCAGGAGCTGCAGGTGTGGGCAGGGGGGTCCGAGCCTCCCTCCGTACCCACGGGCACAGGTGAAGGGAATGCTCCAGAACAGCCCAAGCCCAGCTGGAAGCCCCCGCCCTCATCTCAAGGACCCAAACCGGGTCCTGCCGCACCGGCCCCGCTGCCCTGCGCCTGGAGCCCCCGCTCTGCCCTGACCCACACCAGAGCCGAGCCCCCACGTGCCGGCGAGGGCCGGGGCCGGGGCCAGGGCAGGCGCTGCCCGGGCAGGGCGCTGGGTCCCGGCACCGACGGGAGCGGTGGGGCTGGGGTCACCCTGAGCCTCCGGCACCGCCTCGCCGGGGCTCCCGCTGCTCCCGCACCCCGGCTGTCACCCGCTGCCCGCCGGCACCCCCGGATCAGCGCCCCCGGTGCCGCCCCGGTGCAGCCGCGGAGCTCAGACCCCCCCGAGCCGCTGCCGGTACCGGCCCCACCTCGCACCCCCCAACCGCGGCCGCCCCCACCCCGAGCCGGGCATCCCCCCCCCACCCCGAGGAACCCGGCGCTCACCTGCGGCGGCCAAGAGCGGCGGGAGCCGGAGCCGCTCCATGGCGCTGCCGAAGCGGCCGCAGGAAGCCCCCGCCCGTCCCCGCTGCGGAGGGGCGGAGGCGCCGGCAGCCGCAGCCCCCGGCCCGGGCCCGCCCCACCGCCCCCGCCCGGCTCCGTGCGCGGGTCCCGCCGGGACCGGCCGCGGGGGGGCTGTTACCGCGGGAGCTGCCCCGGGGCAAAGGCTCCTGCGGGCGCCGAGGGCTTCACAGCTCTTCCCTGTGAGGGTGCTGAGGCGCTGGCACAGGGTGCCCAGAGAAGCTGTGGCTGCCCCATCCCTGGCAGTGTTCAAGGCCAGGTTGGACACAGGGGCTTGGAGCAAGCTGCTCCAGTGGAAGGGGTCCCTGCCCGTGGCAGGGGTTGGAGCTGGAGGAGCTTTAAGGTGCCTTCAACCCAAACCAGGCTGGGATTCCATGAATCACCCAGGGCACCACCACCAACAGAACCAGCACTGGCTCACCTGGGCACAAAGGGATGGCTCCGCAGCCACCATCACTCCCATCTCCAAGCAGGACTGGGGAAAACCACCATGGATGAGGTGTCCAAAACTCCCCCAGACTCCGGCTGCAGCCTGCTCAGGAGAGGCGCCAGGATGCATTTGGGTGAAGGAGCAACGGAGCAGCCTCCACCAGCACCGGCCTCGCGCACAGTGAAAGCGAAACCCTGTGCCTGAGGTCCCTCGGCCGGGTGAGGAAGCAGGGAACACCCGGGGCACGCTCAGGCCCCACGTGCAGTGGACACGGGGCCACGTCCCGCCCTGCGCCCCCTCCATGGCCAAGGGACTCGGCACCAGCAGCGCTCACTTGGCTGCAGCGCCTCTGACACATCAGTGTTTCTTGGCACAGAGAGAGAATTGTGCACGGTCCAGAAATAACTTGTTCCTGCCTCGGGAGAGGTTTAAAGCGAGCAGCCCGTGCCGGGCTCACGGGGACACGGGTGGGATTGTGTTGTTGAGCAGCAGGAAACCCCTCTCCCCTTTATCTCCCATCAAACACTACTTGTTTTTACCGGGATGAAATGAACTGCGCAGGCAGAAGGTGAGTTAGTGGGAAGAGCCGACAACGTTAGCAGGGAGGCCCAGAGCTCTGCACCACGGCACAGGCCCCTTTCACACACACACGAACAGCACAAGCGCCTTGGGAGACAGAATCAGAGCCTGTCTGAGCTTCAAGTGCTCCCCCAGTGCTCAGGTGATGGTGCCTTCACCCCCTAACACACACACATGGATGTCCCTCACCCACCACTACCCAGTGAACACAGTGGCAGGGTGGGATGGCAACGCCAGCAGCACACCCCTGGTCTTGTGTATTTATTCCTTTTTTTCCTCGTTTTTAAAGGATAACAGATTGAGACAGATTTAAATACAACGTCCAAGTACAAGGTTCCGATGAAAGCAGCAGCAGCATGGCCTGTGCGTGCACGTTCCTGTGCTGCCCCCAGCCCGGTTCTGGCCATGAGACAGCTCCTGGGGAAGGAAGAAAAATCCACGTATTTAGTATTCCATCAAGGAAGACCCACTGGTTTCAGGCACAAAAGCAGCGGGTCAGGCAGAGACCACCCAAGCTGGACACCAAAAGCAAACTGTGAGCCCACAGGGCATTCGAATGGCCAGGATCTTGCCTTGGCTCCAAGGGAAGGGGCACAGATCCTTGCAGAGCGGAGCTGACCCGGAGGGAGCCGCAGGACCAGCAGGAAGGTGGCCCCATCTGCTGCCACGCTGGCCCAGGGCCAGCAGCTCATTTCCCCTCACTTCCCCGGCAGCACCTCAGGGCAGGGGCTCCACTCACCCCTTCCTGCCCATTTCCTTCCCAGCAGGAAATGCCGGGAGCTGTCACAGCATGTCTGGAGGTGCCCTCCAACCCTGCCCCATTAAAACCAGGGACTTCCACAACCAGAGTCAAACCCCATCGACAGAAAGAGCTGTGGATAATCGAGTGCTTCAGGTGCCCCACAACCCTCCACATCCTCTCTCCAGCAGCAGACACCACAGGGAAACCACCTCTGCTTTCCCCTGCCAGCTCCCTCCCAACCCCTGCCTGCCCCATGGCCCCACAGCACTGTCCCCTCACCCAGCCTCCCCTCACAGGCGTCACACACTGCCCTGTGCCCACTGCTGCTACCCGAGACACTCACAGGAGCACGATTCCACTTACTCAGCTCTGGAGAACTGGTTTTATTCATAAACATCCTTCTTATCTGCAATGTAATCTACAATCTCCTGTGGACACATTAACTTCTCGGCGTCTCCATCGGGGATTTCAAATCCTGGAATGAAAGTGCACATACTTAACTGGGATCAGCGGAAGCGGGAGCAAGGCTAAAGGAAGCCGGGACAGCGCGGCCAGGGACACACAGCAGGGCCAGAGCCAGCACAGGGCTGGGATTCCCGCTGAGCTTTGCCCTGCTCAGCACCATTGCTGGGGCAGGGAGAGGCTGAGGAGGCAGTGAGTGCCCCTCACACCTTGCTGGAGCCACCACCACCTTCACCAGAAGGGATGCTCCCGGTAACACCGGGCACATCCAGGCATGAAGCTCCTTGGTCAGAGTCTGCTGCCGAGTGCCCCAACAGCCACCGGCTCATGCAGGGCCACAGCTGGGGAGAGGGAGCACAAGGGCTCAGAACCACTCAGAACCACATCCCATGAAAAGCACCTTCTCTTCCCAGCCCTCACTGCCACAGCATCCAATGGCACACAAGGGAATTTAACACAGAGTAACAGCAACTGCTCTGGAAGCAAAACAACGTCTGCCCAGGCTTAGAGAACAACCAAACCCCAGGATGTCTGTGACCCGGCGTGACAAATTAGGCAGAATGTCTGAGCTTTACATGAAAGCACAAAGAAGTCCAAAATGAAGTGAAAAGCAACTTGGAATATACATTGATAAGGCAAAATCAACTTTTTTTTCCCCAGTAACATCAAGTACTGAGGGTAAAAATCCAACCTGGTGAGGAAAACCTGGGGTCAACTGTGATTTCCCAGGGGGAGCCAAGACCAGCTCTGGGATCAGCCCCTGTGCTGTCCCCTCCCCATCCCCAGCAATGCGGGGAAGGTGCCCAGGGGCTGTGGGGAGAACAGCAGCCGGAGCTGCCAAGCAGCAGCAGATGGACAGATGGGGAGACACCTCCCCTGAGTGCTGCTGGTGCCAGCAGTGACCAGCTCCCGTTCTGACCCAGAACCACTCCATTTCCTCTGAGTTACAGCATGGAAAAGCCACCGCTGCTGCCCACAGAGGAGCGGCAGTGCCCGTGTGCTGCAGCTGCACCAAGGGATCAGCCATAAGCACCGTGTGCCCAGCTCGCACTTACCGAACTCGTCCTCCATGGCCATGATGATCTCCACTTGGTCCAAGCTGTCCAAGCCCAGGTCCTTCATGAAGTGGGACTCTACTGTGAGCTACGGGAAGAACAACCCTGGGTCAGCTGCCTGCGGCCGTGCCCGCGCTCCGCCCCCGGGCCCCCACTCGCCTTCTCGGGGTCGATCTTGTCGTACAGCTTGAGGACGTAGAGGACGCGCTCCTTGATGTCGTCCAGGGTGAGGGGGGGCAGCTCGGAGTACCGGCGGCAGGGCGGCAGCGCCCGCGGCACCTGCAAGACACCGGCACCGGGCAGCGGGGGCAGCGCCGGCCGCCCCCCGCCCGCCCCGGCCCGGCCCGGGCCTTACCTGCGGCAGCGGCAGCAGCGCGGGCGGGGCCGTTGGGGCCCGCGGGAGGCAGCGGGAGAGCGAGCGGAGCGCGGCGGGGCCCGCCCGGGGCAGCAGGCGGCGGGCGCAGGCCGAGAGGACACGGGCCGCCATGGTGACCTGTTCCCAGCGTGCACCGCGCCGCTCCCGGCACACGGAGAGCCGCGCCGCGGCGGGGCGGGCCCACACGGGTGCTCCCCGCGGCGGCGGCCGCGCCCCCTGGCGGCCCGGAGGACCAGCCGGTACGGCTCGGCGCGGCGCGGCGCAGCAGCAGACACGAGTCCGGTCTAAAGCCAAGTGGTTTAATGGCACCGCACACACCCGGGCGCACGCGCAGCCACACGCGACCCCCGGTACCGGTGGAGCTGAACCGGAGGCTCCCCGCAGTGCTGCGTCAGGCCGCCCCAGGCTGAGGCTGCCGGTACCGGTAGAGGCAGACGGTGCCGTCCTGCTGCCCGGCCAGCAGGGAGGCACCGGTGCAGGCATCAGTGATGGCCCAGCGGGCCAGCGCCCAGCTCCCCGCCGGTCCCGGGGGCAGCAGGGCCGTGCACCGGCCCAGGAGCAGGTCCCACACAGCCACAGCACCCGATGTCAGCACGGCTGCGGCCAAGGCACCCCTCACGTCACCCTCCAGGTACCTGGGGACACAGACACAAGGGTCACGCGTCTGCAAAAGCACCAGCACATCACTTCTGAAACCAGGCAGCGTCCCAGCTACAAATGAATAGGGACACAGGAAAGCCAGGCTGCGGGATGGGTCACATCTGAGAACAAAGGATGTCAATGCAACCCTCCTCCAGCCCCAGAACACGCTCAAAAACCACTCAAGATTTGGACCCGCTGGTGTCTGAGCACATCACCACAGCATCTCATAATGGTTTAAACAGCCTCTTTCCAAAAGGAAGGGAAGAGGAGGAAAAGGTCACCCGGATGCACGCAGCTGCTTAGCATAAATGAAGGTGGCAAAGCCTCTGTAACAGCACAGCTCTGTGACAGCTCAAAGGTTTGGAACATCTCCTTTGAAGGCATTTTCTCAGGGGGTTCCCCTGTGAGCCCAGTTCCAGCATTCCCAAAGTGACTGGTGCAGGGAAGATGAAAGCACAAGCACACAGAAGCCTCACTGCAGAGCCCCAGGAGCACAGCCCCTCGCTGTGAGCCCGGGGTCAGCACAGAGGCTGGCGCAGGAAGCAGGCAGGAAACAGCCAACACCCTCACCCTGCTCCAGCCCCTGGAGCACATCCAAGGGCACAACGGATGCAGCCCCTTATCACCGGCAAGATGGCAAATGGATCCCTGCCAGCAGCACTGCCCAGCCCATGGAGAGATCCCCCCCAAACCACCACAAAGGGCTCCGGGAGCAGAGCCCTGGTACCTGCCTTCCAGTGTGCCCGGGCGGGAGGGAGGAGGCCATCACCCCCCTGCTCCTGGCTGTGCTGGGGTTGAACACCACCACACGGAACGCTGGGTTTCCACAGGACTCGCTCTCTTTGGCGTGTGGATGGCTCAAAACCACAAACAGGAGGCCCTGATGCACAGAGGGAAAATACATCATTAAAAACAACAGCAGGAGGGGAAAAAAACTCGGAGAATTTTCCAACAATTAATTGCTGCATTCTCTCTATAATCAAAGCCCCCTGGACATTGATGCATTATTTGTACTGAATAAAACAGGAATGCTTTACTTTCCTTATCAAGTCAGATAAAACCCAAAGCAGCTGCTGACTGATAAGGGCTGATGCAATGCAGGAGAATGACAGCTCAGTGACCTGGAGGATTTATGCGCTGATCTTCCTGTCTGAAAAAGCTAAGCTTGCTGTAGGATGTAATTTCTGGGCCTCATTTTAATCCCTAAAAGCTTACAGTTTAACAAGAATTCCACGCAAAGCAGCACAGCTGAAACCTGCAGCTCTCAGAACAGCCACAGGCCAGCACGGAACACCCTGGGACAGGTATTCCGAGGAAGTCTCCAAAGAGTATGGCTCAAACCACCATTATTGGACAATTCTTGTTCAAAAGGTTAAATGCCCACTGAAAACAAATCCTTGATCAACCACAAAAATCCATCAAGAAGCACAGCACAGGGGGAAGCAAGTGGGAAAGAATCATCAGTATGAAGCTTGGGGTTAAACAGTTAATGCCCTCGGGGTGCATATAGATAATAATCACACTGATTTTCTGAGAACAGCAGTTACCCAAGTGTGGAATGGAAGAGATGTGCCAAGCACCAGGGCTGGACAACAGCTCTTCTGCTTTCCCCCTGCAAGGTGCTGCTACTTTGGAATGTCTTTTGATGCAACACTCTCATTTTACCAGTACACAGAAGAAAGCCAGGAATTCAAGGCAGCCAATGGGGCTTACTTCTCCTGGTTAACCCATCTGCCTTGCAAATACCTTCAGAATATCTAAATAGGGCTGGTATTTCAATCCACTTTAGAAACTCCAATCCCCCAGTTGGTCAGTGCAGCATTGCCATATTTCATGTACGTACAGAGTCGGAATAGGCTCGATGGCAGATGGAAGCTGGGTAGGAATAACCAGTGTGCATCTTCTTCAGGAGCTGGCCTGTTTTCAGATTCCTGCAGTCGGGGAACAGACAAATTCTGAGTGCATTTCCATCCTCTACATGTTATTTCCTAATCACAGTTAGGAAAACACCACTATATAAGATGGACAGAGCTTTGGTTCCACATAAACCAAACTAAGACATGAGACCACAGGAAGAAACGTAATGAATACGGTGCAAAAGCAAGTGGAGTTACAGCTGCACTGTTCATTCACCACCTACTGCACTGCACACAAGTTCAAGTGCCAGACCACAGGCCTGCTGACAACTGCTATTTCACAGGCAAAGCAGCAACCAACCAACACCCCTACACTATCCTACAGCCAACTGTCACCACACACACCAGTGAGCTAAACCAGTTAACAGCAAAGGAATCACTGACCAAATGACAATGCTGTTCACTGCAGTGGTGCCAACCAGGGCGTCCCTCATTCCTTCCACTTCAGCAAAAGCTGAAACAGTCTCTTCAGGAGGCATCAGAGTCTGTCCATCTCTGCTCCTGAACAGCAGATTAACAAGTGAGAAGGGGAGTCAAAATAGCATGTGTTCTGTGCTCAGCACATCTCCAGAAAGAAGAGGAACCCAACAATCTTCTACACCCAAGACGTATCCTCACTCCTCCTCCACCAGCCGCACAGAGCACCCCAAACCCAGCACTCACCTTCCTGTCTCTGAAAAAGACACTATTTCCACGTGCTGCTCTTGCAGAGCCCTACTGTTGCTGACCAGCCTCCTGTCCTTCAGCCCAAGAACAGCTTTTATGGTTCCAGTTCTCACTAGTGATTGCTTGAATGAGTCAGTCTCAGACGAATAAAGCAGGAGCCTAAATTAAGAGAAAGTCACACCTCATGAGAAGGAGAAGCAGAACTCAAACATGCCACAGCATATAAAAATGAGCACGTTTAAACACCTCTAGGGATGGATAAGCAGCTCTTTATAGCTGGTTTATAGAAACCTCTTCCATTTTCCAAGTGTTGAAGCAACTGAGAAAGTGACACATTAGTAAGGGATCATTTCTGCTGCCACACCAGAGGAGAGTTAAGCTGTGGCTATTCAGGGGGCAAAGGGCGGTAAGAAATAAATACAAAACCTTATTTCTCCAATCTCCAGGTCTCCCAGTGCTACACACACGAGATTGCAGGAGTCTGGCAGAGGAACGATCTGTATTACAGGAATCTAGGACAGCAAAGCAAGGATTCAGTGTCACCCACAATGTCCCTTTGACTTCAATGCCATTTTCTAGAGTGATTCATTAAAATGACACAGAGCAGAGCTGATTTTCCCTTCTGAGGAAGCACACTTAGATTAATAGCTGAACTCTGGGCTGTTTGCCTGATTAAACAACCTCTGTTGATGTAAGTGACAAAAAGCATCTCCAGGGAGTGTAAGGGGAAAGCGCATGAGCCAGTGGCTGAAGTGCAGCCACCATTCAGTACAAGAGCCAAACTCCAGCAGATAACACGGGACCATACAAGCTACTGGCCTCCTCCATCAGCACTGCAAATCATTCTCCTCTGCTGCTAAGTGGAATGAACAAATTTATGCCACCTAAAGAACTTCCCCTGCACCCAACAGTACAAGTTCCTTGTTTCCTGGGAACTAACAAAGGGAACTAACACGTGGGACAAGAAAGTTGCCCTGAACTCTAGCAATAAGGACTGTGTTGGTACCTCTCCGAGCTGCCAGGTGTAGACCTTTTCCCAGTGGTCAGGCCCCAGGGGTTTCCAGAGGGAGACAGAGCTCTCACAGGCTGTCACCACACAGAGCTCTCTGCAGCCAGCTGCTTCCCACCACATGGTGCTCACATCCACGGCGCAGGAACTCGGACAATCCTGCCCAAAAGAAAACAGGGCTGGTTTTCTTCTGCCAGACGTGGTTATGTCACCTGGAGGGACAGCCTGAGGACAATGCTTCATGTGCAGTGTGGGGAGAGTTTGAGGCTGAAACTTTACGCTTACGATGTTTAATTTTGAACAAAGTGCCAGTGAGGCACCCAGGAGAATGCGCTTGGTGGGTTTCATCCTCAGAGCAAATACATCGCCTCACTTCACAAAAGTCACTTGTCATTTGAAAAGACAGGGAGCCAGCAGAGGCCCGAGCTCGGACAGGGCTTACAGGGTTAGTTAGTGCCCAAAAGGCGACAGGAGGCTATTGGAGCCACAGGGCAGGCAACAGGGGTACAAAGGCTGAGATCATCTTACCTTGGGCCAAAGTAAAATGCAGCAGTTGTTCCTTAAGACACTTGCATGTGTTTAGAATTCATTATTCAGACACAAACACTGAAATCATCAGTCGGAAGGAGCTGAAGAGCAATCTAACCCCTCAGCAGGCTTTACCATGAGACACAGCTGATCAAATTAGACAGCAATCTACTTTGTGCACCTACGCATTCTGCAGGTTTTATTTCAGTTTTGTTAAGCTCACTATTACAGAGCTGCCACTGACTCAGTAACAATTATCTGATGTTATCCCACCTTCAGCTTGGATAGAAGCTGCAAGCTCTCTTCTCTCAGGCCATCCGGCAGTACTGGAATCAACTGTTCTGCTACAGCTTTGTCCTGCACAGACAA